GGAGCACTGTAGCGCGGGTCGGAGCATTGTAGCGTGGGTCAGATTACTGTAGCGCGGGTCGGATTACGGTAGCACGGGTCGGATTACTGTAGCGTTGGTCGGATTTGAGGGTCCGGAGTTACTATAGTGGCCTTAACTCACTCATCCGACCTTGGAATGAAGTGATTCAAGATGCGTTGGAAAGCTGACGAAGAGACCTTCAACTTTTATGTTTTGAATTTTTCCAGATCCAATTTGTATCATGGTCAAAATATCAATCCTTTGTGCGTGCCACTTTGAGGTATTTGACACTTTCTGACTTCTCCGGACTTGTATTGCGCATTTCGTCATTCCGTTGACTTGTACACTCCAGTGACTTGTACACTCCAGTGACTCACTTTGTATATTCGTTAGCTTCCACGGGGCCGGATAATCCTTTTCTGACTTGAATGATGATGCTTATCGTTTGCATTTCGCCTCGAGCTGCGTACGGGAACCTTGTAGGCAATTTTAGACGCCTACAATATTCTTCTTCAACTGAGGAACGAACCTCACTCCAACCAACTCCCGAATCACTCCATCACTCATCCTGATCCGAACTGTGCCAATACCACAAATAGGGCATTCATGATCATTACCCATGAGCACGAAATCCCCTCTTTCCAACTCCTGAAAGCTGGAGAACAAATCCCTCCTAGGGCAAATGTGGTATGTAGCACCAGAGTCCAACATCCATTCTGTAGAGTAGGCAACACAAACTGACGGCAGTACAGATAATGAGTAGCCCGAAGAATCTGAATCTGAATCATTGCCACTAGCCTTGACAACATTCACCTCTGAAGCCTGAATAACTTTCCCCTTATTCTTCCCGGTTTGATCATTCAACTTTGGGCATTCAGCTTTCTAATGTTCATCTTCTTTACAAAAAGCACACTGATTCCTACGAATTTCAAGATGTGCCCCTCTAGACTGTGACCTTCTACCTCGGTTTGAACCCTTTGCTCTTGCAACCAATGCCCCCGCTACCGGCTCAATAGAAATCTCATTGTCCTTCTTTCTAAGATGGTAATTCACTAATGCAGCGGTTACCTCACTATATGAAAGAGATGCCTTCCTATTAATAAGAGTAAGGACAAACGTCTCGTATTCCTCGTCGGGCAAAGAGCTCAACAATAGTAACGCATTGTCCTCATCTTCAACAATGACATCTACATTCGCCAAATCGGCAAGAAGCTTCGTGTAGTGATTCATGTGATCACTAATGGATGTCTCATTCTTCAATTGGAAGCGATAAAGCCTCCTCTTCAAATGCAAGCGAGTACTTGCTCTCTAAGACTTCCCAAATCTTCTTTGCTGAAGTCTCATTCATCACATCATATTTTAGATCTTGAGTGAGGCAAGACCTAATCACACCACACACTGTTCGATTCATCTTTTTCCAAACCTTCTCATCAATATCGTCCGGTTTCCCGTCCAACTCCAACGTATCTTCCAAATTCTGCGCATTGAACGCATCCAAGACTTCGCATCGCCAAAGTCCAAAATTGTTAGTGCCATTGAACTTCTCCATGTCAATCTTCATCGAGTGGATACTCAAATTTTGGACAGTCTTCCCACCTAAAGAACCACCCTCAACTCCCTCTTTCTCGGCCATAATCCTCAACACACCAACAACCAGTACGGAAACAAACGAAGAATAGATCCAAAACTGAGAAAAGAAAGAAGCTTTACAAAAAAGATCCCACATTTCTCACCAACCGAAATCCTAGACGAGCTTCCCAAATCGATCTACTCTTCCAAATAGCCCAAACATAGCCCGAGCTCTAATATCAATTGTTGGGCAAAATACCAATTGTTGTTGAAAACCGTGTCGAGGAACCAAACCAATTGCCGATCAACGAGGGCCAAATCCAACTAAAATCAATGCACACACAAAACACCAATTTTAACATGGTTCGGCAATTGCCTACGTCCACGGGGCAAGAAGAGGATGGGGTTTTCACCAATAGAGAAGAAGAGTACAACTTGAGATTACAAATCACTCGAATGAACAAACTAATCTCACCAACAAGGCTCTTAATCTCTCCAAATAAACCCTAATCAAATAACTCAGAAAATACTTTTTTTCTGTGCTCCAAATATCCCAAACTCTTGCCTTAAGAAACCCTAGAACGTGTATTGGTATTTATACAAATACCAAAACCAAATAAGAACAGGAAACACAAGTTTGGGCCTGCGCCAAGTCCAGGCACAAATCCTGGATCCGTGCACGATCGCGGTCGACCGGCCTTGCACCGCGGTCGACCGCGCAGCTCCCAAACAGAACCCTGAGCTCTTCCAACACCTGTTCTTCACCAAACTTCTCGCGGTTTCTTCAATATCTTGCTTCCAAGGAGAACCTTCAGCTAATTATGCAAGTTCCCCTCTCCTACCTCTCCCTTGAAAAATAAGCTTCAGTTCTATCCTCCTAAATTTACGTTTATATATAGCTTTTAAGAGAGACGAAAGATGAAACATATACAGTTCCTGTAGGGGTAGCATGAAATAATTACAAAGGGAGATACAATTCACATCAAACAAGAAAAAGGGTCTCGAGGTGACCAACAATTCAATATTACTATCGTAAATACAATAGCGACAACTAAACGAGAACAGACTGTTCGCAAAGTGTAGCAGACCTCAATATATGTGTACATGAGATTGAAAGAAGACAGCAAAAAGCAAGCTGCTTCAAGCTGCTCGAGCAAATCAGCAACAGATACAAAGAATAACGCAATACAAAGAATCATATCGTGGTGAGCTGAAAACGTACATGTTCAGAGACCAGCTGAAACGAGTCCATGCAATGTGACGATTCCAATAACAACATTCTGGTCATCGAGAACAGGCAAGAATTGGACAGGGGAAGGAGGAGCCTCCATTCTCTTCATTGCTTCCGCTGCCATTGCTTGAGGACCAATAGTCCTTGGGCTTCTGTTAGTCACAAAAGAATAACGTTAGACAATCACATTCCTTCATAAACAATATGTGCAGAGTTAGACTCATGCCTACTGGATCAAAGATGCTCAGTTTTGTTGCTTGCAGGTTAAAAATTCTTTTCTCTTAAAACTTTTAATAAGCTGATTAGAGTATTTGCTAAGTTCGACATGGTATTCTTGTATGGAATGCTGGTAATAAAGTTTATTCAATTGCCAGCTGGTTATAAAGCTCTTACTTAAGCGATAAGAACCATGGTTTCATGTGGTATAGGGTAACTTCAACGTGCCTAGGACTCCTTTTCTACGTTGTTAGCATGTTGGGGTAGATTGTTGCCTAAAGAGAGAATGACAAAAAGGGGGATGCCAAATGACCTGAGGTGTGGATTTTGCGACACAAACTCAGAGGGAAGAGATCATTTGTCTTTTGAATGCAACGTCAGCAAAAAGGTCCGGAAACCTGTGATGGATTACACAGGAATAACAAATGCTCCATTTGAATAGCAACAAATAGTTCCTTGGGCTCAAAGAAAATGCAATGGCGGAGGTGTGATCAAGACCTCTTACAACTCTCGTTTGGCTGGTAGTGTGTATGTTATTTGGAGATCCAGACATGATCTGATTTTCATGAAACAAACTGTTCACCAGACTCTTTACATTTTGAAGATCAAACTGGCACACATATTCAAAGTGTACATGACAACATAGACAATAGGAAGTGGTGTGAGAATGCACATTGAGCCAAAATTTGTAAGTAAACAAAGGTAGCTGTAGGTATTTCGTTTTTGTGATGAGTTTGTACTTAATGCATGCTTACTTGGTAATTAGAAGTTTTACCCTTTCTCACCAGAAAATAAGTGAAGAGTTTGATTTTAAAATTATACTCCACAAAAACATTCAAATAAAATAAAATAAAAAAAACCCTACTTTTGCACCTAACACCACTAAAGGTACTTTTTCTCCTAAAGGGGTCTACTATTAAATGAGTATGGATTTGCGAGTATGCTTATCCATGGAATTAGAACATGAAAGTAAATGGAAAGTGGTTGATAGAGTTAAAAGTAGCAAGATCGTCCTATCAGTATAGTGTCCTGCATCATGATTGTCATTCACCGCTACTGACTTTACATGGCAACTCCTCAAGTAAGTCTGCAATACACACCGTAAATAATTGATATTAAGCTGTTACTATAAATAATCTATCATGTGCTAATCTCCAGATCTTAAAAATGTTAAAATTGGCATTGGCAAACATAGACAAGCCAACAAGCAAACATGTATTGGCAACATTAACGTTCGTAATCAAATAATTTTGTTCCTTAGCCAAAGTTCATATAACAACATATGTTGTTTAAAATCTACAAGTTCCATTTTATGCAACAAGTAAGTTGCAATGAATGGGAAAGGTCATAGCCTTATAGGTTGACAATGATTTGAGTATTAGTGAAATTTCATGACTGGATTCTAATCCTGAATACATACATTCATGAAAAACTTTAAAAGTTGCATCAACTGAATATGTAAGGATTAGCCAATCGAGATTGCACACAGAGAGGAGGAGATATCAGAACATATCAATGGTAATAAGAAAATTATTTAAAAAATCTGCAGATAGAATGCAATTGATAGAAAGATGAAGGATGCCTAAAACTAGCCAGTATGGTTGATTAAGGTTTTGCCAATTCTTTACTTGTTCATTACTATAAGAAACCATGGTTTCACATGGTCTAGGGCAACTTTAATAGGACTCCTTTTCTATATTTTTTCCCCCCGTATCCCACATCAGAAGGATAGCATTGAAGCATATCTTGTGCCCAGGACTCCTTTTCTATGCACTTAGCGTGTTGGGGGTAGATGGTTGACTAAAGAGAGAATGACAAAAAAGGGGATGCCAAATGACATGATGTGTGAATTTTGCAGCACAAGCTCAGAGGGAAGAGACCATTTGTCTTCTGAGTGCAATTTCAGCAAAGAGGTCCGGAAACCTGCGAAGGATTATGCGAGAATAACAAATGCTCCATTTGAATAGCAACAAATAATTCCTTGGGCTCAAAGAAAATGGAATGGCAAGGTGTGATCAAGTCCTTTTACAAGTCTCGTTTGGCTGGTAGCGTGTACATTATTTGGAGATCCAGAAACGATCTGATTTTGTGAAACATACTGTTCAGCAGACTCTTTACATTTTGAAGATCAAACTGGCACACATATTGTTGAAAGTGTATGACAACATAGACAATAGGAAGTGGGGTGAGAATGCACATTGAGCCAAAATTTGTAAGTAAACAAAGGTAGCTGATGAAATTTTGTTTTTGTGATGAATTTGTCCTTAATGCATGCTTACTTGGTAATTAAAAGTTTAAACCTTTCTTGCCAAAAAAGAAGTGCAGAATTTGATTTTAAAATTATACACCACAAGAACATTTAAAAAAACACTACTTTCGCACCTAACACCACGAAGGTACTTCTTTTCATAAAGGAGTCTACTGTTAAACTTGCAAGTTTGCTTATCCATGGAATTAGGACATGAAAATAAATGGAAAATGGCTGACAGAGTTGGAAGTAGCAATGCCATCCTATCAGCATAGTACCCTGCACCATGATAGTAATTCACCTATATCCTGAATTTACATGGTAAAAATTCTCAAAAAAAGTCCGCAAAAGACACCGTAAACAGTGGATATTAAGCTGTTGCTATAGTGATCTATCATGTGCTAAGCTCCAGATCTTGAAAATGTTAAAATTGGCATTGCCAAACATAGACAAGCCAAAAAGAAAACATGTTTTGGCTAACACTAAAGTTCATAATCAAATAATTTCGCCCCTTAGCCAAAGTTCATAGATCAACATATGTTTATTATCTACAAGATTCCATTTTATGCAACAAGTAACTTGCAATGAATGGGAAAAGTCATAGCCTTATCGGTTGACACTGATTTGTATATTAGTGACATTTCATGACTGGATTCTAATCACGAATACATTGGATTCTAAATTTTGATACAAAAGGCTGTGGTCTCAGATTTGTCAGACCTATATTCTTTGAACTCCTTAATATGGTTCCCTGACATTCATGAAAAACTTTAAAGGTTGCATCAACTGAATATGTGAGGATTAGCCAATCGAGATGGCACACATTGAGGAGGAGATATCAGAACATATCAATGGTAATAAGAAAATTATTTAAAAAATATGCAGATAGAGTGCAATCAATAGGAAGAAAATGAGACGAAGGATGCCTAAAATGAACCAGTAATGTTGATTAAGGTTTGCCAATTTCTTTACTTGTTTATTACTATAGAATACCCTTCTTTGATATTGTTTTGTTGTTAAGAAAGTGAAATCTGCAAATCTGTGGATCTGGGAAGCAATTCTACAAACAGACTGGTTTTGACTAGGCATACATGAATCAATTTCTTTTGCTCCTTAGACGCTTTAAACCGATTTGTAGCTGTACTTTCCTTTCTGTAAATATTTAGTACCTAATGCAAGGTGATGTAAGCCACGAAATAAGGCACATAGGCTTCCACTATGCTCAAATATTAAGCAATGTGATACTGAAATATCTAAGTACCAAATAAGCCATTCTTCCTATGACCCTAAAGGCAAAAAATAACTCCCATAATACATACAAGTGACATAAGCAAGTATCATATCAACTGAGAAATCATCAATCTTCACAAATTGAAGAAATGAAATAGATGTACCTGTTACACATTTCACCCACTGTGAGCTTGAAAATGCCTTCACCACTAGCCTTGAGAGTCCTGCGAAGGTCACCATCTGTAAATGTCCCGATCAGACGGCGTTCCTCATCAACAACAAGCAGGCATCCACATCCTTTACTTGTAAGCTCCGTGAGTTGATTCATTATCATGTCCCCTTCCTTGCAGAAAGGAAGCTCCTCCTGCTTCCTCATTAGATCTTTAACCTGCAAAATGACAGAAACCTTCGTCCTAAACTTTTGGGACCGGCAACAGTGACAATGCAGGCATCAATTAGGGGCCAGGGTCGGTGGAATGAATCACCCACTCACCTTGAAGATGAGGCTCTTCCCGATCTTGCCTGCGGGGTGATTGGCCGCATACTGCTCCTTGGTAAGGCTCTTGGCCCCCATGATCGCCGCCACCACCGTGTCCCCGAACACCACTGATCGCCGTGAACGTCACCGGCGCCACCCGAACGGGCAGAGCTCCCTCTCCAGAGGCAGGTGCACGTTCATGTCGCACGCCGTGGCAGCGGGTTCCCGGCCACGAGTGACGGAGATCAGCGTGGCCCCTTGGCGCGGACGCAGGCACGAGGGCGAAGACTCGTCGCGGGAAGCCGGATTGAGAATGAGGAGAGGAGGTCGCCGGAAGAGGGCGCCGGATGTCGCCGTGAGGGCGTCGACGGGCGAGAAGGAGGAGCGGGAAGCCGAGGGAGGCGAGGGTTTGGAGAGCTTGTGGGCGACGAAGCCTCTTGCCGACGCCGTGAGAAGACGGCGAGGGTGGGGCGCGAGGAGGGACTGGGCGAAGGACCGGGCCTGGCCGCAGGTGTCGAAGAAGTGGTTGAGGATCGCTGTGCGATTTTGAGAGCAGGGAAGCTCGTCGGGTCGATTTGGGCCGGTCGAGAGGAGATCCATTATTATTTATTTTATTTTATTTTATTTTATTTTTCTTCTTCTTCTTTGGATTCTGGAGGAGGGAGGAGAAGACGAAGGAGCGCGTTGAAAGAGGAGGGCCAATTGGATTTTGGGGAGGAAAAAGGCCCGGGGGGGCTGCTACTGAGAAAAGAGGGCCGAAGTGTCGGTGGCGATTTATTTGCAACAACATGTTACTTGCCCATGATGGTGACACTTATCTTTGATTAGTTACACGTTTTTAATTTTTTTTTAAAATTTTATTCGAAAATAAATGTAACACTTTCTTTTTTTAAAATTAAAATAGCACGGCTAGTTTTCCAGACTCCGTGTACGTGATGCTTGCATGATCAAATGTACTTGTAAATAATAATAATTTTTTTTAACTCTAATCCATCGTACTTTACTTTATGTTGATCAAATTGTTTCACGGTCTAATGAAGAAATCGGGACATTGTTCGAACAATATCTCTTGTTTGAATAATAAAAAAACATTCGTTTGAGCCTAATCTATGTTTGAAATGATCAAGTACAGGAATATACATGTATGGACGAGAAAAGCGAAAACCAGCTTAAAGTCCAGAGAAGCTCAGATCATCGATGGTCAAGAGCCACCATCGATGGTTAAGACGACTAATTCAAAATTTTAGTTTTTAATCTTAGTTGTTCATTGCACATCAAACCCGGGTCTTCTCCTACATTTTGATGTATTGTTTCTGGCCCAGTAAGAAGAGAAAAAGAGAGAGAAAGATGGGAGGAGACCTAGGGTTTAAGTTGGATTAAGGAGAGTTGTGGCAACATCATCCAATCAGTTCACATCGAGGAGAGTTGCCCTTAGAGTTCATTTTCATCCCCGTCTTTCATCATGTTTCGCTTAGATCATTCGGAGAACAGTTTGCTAATTGAAAGGGTTGTAAGAAAGTTTTTATATTGAGCTTAATTGTTATATCTTTTTCCATTCACATTGAACTCCTTTTACGGCGCACTTAAGCTGGTTGAATTGAGGGTTTTGACTAGCTAGGTCTACGAGTTACTCATTGTGAGAGTTAGGTTAGATGACTAGTTTCGAGTTGAAACTAGGGTACGAATTTGTAAACCTATTGAATCAGGCTTGTGGTTCAAGAGAACTCTATCATAGTGAGGAAGCAGGAAGCTACTCCGCGAGAAAGAATAGTGGATGTGTGATTATTTATCCTAACCATTATAAAATCTAGGATATCTCTTATTATTTGGTTTTATTGCTAATTATTGTTTGTCGTTGTAACATGCTCTTTTTCACTGCAAATTATGTGTTTACGAGACAAACGGTAGACAATTCTTTTCATCCCTCCCAAGCTTGCATCTCAGAGCCAACAGAAAATTGAATAAAAAATGTTTATCAAAGCTTTAAAAAATGTGGAGAGAACCCATTCTTTTTATGTTTTGTTTCTTTTGATTTTTCTTTCAATTTATTCTTGAATTTTGGAGGAAGAAGGATACGAAGAAGAGGGAGGGAGAGACTAAGCGTGGAAGAGGAGGACCAATTGGATTCGTGGTTCGTGGGCAAGGTGGGGGCTGCTGCTGAGAAAAGACGGGATGTGGTGCTGATTTACTTGCAACAACATGTTATTTGCTTTTTAGAGACAGCTGTGTATGGAGGGGTTTTAATGATGAAATGCCAAGGATAGTGACATTTCTGGATCTTGATTAATTACACGTTTTTATTGTTTTCAATTTTATTTGAAAATAAATATAGCACTTTTCTTTTAAATAACACAACTAGTTTTTACGGATCAGTGCACCCGATGTGTGGATGATCAAGCATACTTGTGCATAATAAAAAAATTTTGTTTTAAACTCTATTCCAACATACTTTACTTTGATGATCAAGCATACTTGTGCATAATAAAAAAATTTTGTTTTAAACTCTATTCCAACATACTTTACTTTACACGGACCAAATATTTTCATAATCTAATGAAGAAATTGTTAGGACATTGTTTGAACAATATCTCTTGTTTGAGTAATAAAAAATTAATTTAAGTCTAATCTATGTTTGAAATGGTCAATTACAGGAATATACGTGTATGGAACAAGAACGAGGTGAAAAAAGCGAAAATCAGCTCAAAAAGCTGATTTTCAGGTTGTGGATCATTGATAGTGCACATTGATCATTGATGTTGACCACAAGACCGTCAATGGACAACATCAATGGTGCAAAAGTCCAAAGAAGTTCAGATCATCGATTGTTGAAAGTCACCATCGATGGGTAAGACGATTGATTCGAAATTTTAATTTTTAGTCTTAGTTGTTTGCTACACATCAAACCCCTATTTTCTCCTATATTTTGATGTATTGTTTCCTAGCCTAATAAGAAGATAAAAAGAGAAAGAAAGTGGGAGGAGACCTAAGGTTTAAGTTGGATCAATGAGAGATTTTCGATCCCCTGGATTCTCGTTAATCGCTCACTCGTCGTGCGCAACATCATCCAATTAGTTCACAGTGAGAAGAACTGCCCTTTTAGTTCATTTTCATCATTGTTCTTCATCAAACTTCGCTTAGATATTCAAAATATGGTTTGGTAATCAAAAAGGTTGTCATATAGTTTTTTTTGTATTGGGCTTAATTGTTATATGTTTTCCCCTTCACATTGAACTCCTTTTACGACACACTTAAGTAGGTTGAATTGAGGGTTGAGACTAGCTAGGTCTAGGAGCTACTCATTGTGAGAGCTAAGTTAGACGACTGGTTTGGATTTGAGACTAGGGTACGGTCTTGTTAACTTTCGAATCAGGTTTATGATTCAGGAGAACTCTGTCATAGTGAGGAGGTCCCTTCGCGAGAAGGAAGAGTGGATGCATGATTGTTTATCTAAAGTCTCTTGTTAGTTGGTTTATTGCTAATTATTGTTAGTCACTATAATTTGTCATTTTTCATTGCATATTCTATGTTTACGAGAAAAACAATAGACGATCCTATTCACCTCCTCCAAGCTTGCATCTCAGAGCCAATAGAAATTTGAATTAAAAAATGCTCACCAAAGCTTAAAAAATGCGGAGAGAACCCATTCTTTTTATATTTTGTTTCTTTTGATTTTTCTTTCAATTTATTCTTGAATTTTGGAGGAAGAAGGAGACGAAGAAGAGGGAGGGAGAGACTAAGCGTGGAAAGAGGAGGACCAATTGGATTCGTGGGCAAGGTGGGGGCTGCTGCTGAGAAAAGACGGGATGTGGTGGTGATTTACTTGCAACAACATGTTATTTGCTTTTTAGAGACAGCTGTGTATAGAGGGGTTTCGATGATGAAATGCCAAGGATAGTGACATTTCTGGATCTTGATTAATTACACGTTTTTATTGTTTTCAATTTTATTTGAAAATAAATATAGCACTTTTCTTTTAAATAACACAACTGGTTTTTACGGATCAGTGCACCCGATGTGTAGATGATCAAGCATACTTGTGCATAATAAAAAAATTTTGTTTTAAACTCTATTCCAACATACTTTACTTTGATGATCAAGCATACTTGTGCATAATAAAAAAATTTTGTTTTAAACTCTATTCCAACATACTTTACTTTACACGGACCAAATATTTTCATAATCTAATGAAGAAATTGTTAGGACATTGTTTGAACAATATCTCTTGTTTGAGTAATGAAAAATTAATTTAAGTCTAATGTATATTTGAAATGGTCAATTACAGGAATATACGTGTGTGGAACAAGAACGAGGTGAAAAAAGCGAAATCAGCTCAAAAAGCTGATTTTCAGGTTGTGGATCATTGATAGTGCACACATTGATCATTGATGTTGACCACAAGACCATCAATGGTGCAAAAGTCCAAAGAAGTTCAGATCATCGATTGTTGAAAGTCACCATCGATGGGTAAGGCGATTGATTCGAAATTTTAATTTTTAGTCTTAGTTGTTTGCTACACACAAACCCCTATTTTCTCCTATATTTTGATGTATTGTTTCCTAGCCTAATAAGAAGATAAAAAGAGAAAGAATGTGGGAGGAGACCTAAGGTTTAAGTTGGATCAATGAGAGATTTTCGATCCCCTGGATTCTCGTTAATCGCTCACTCGTCGTGCGCAACATCATCCAATTAGTTCACAGTGAGAAGAACTGCCCTTTTAGTTCATTTTCATCCTTGTTCTTCATCAAACTTCGCTTAGATCAATCAAAATATGGTTTGGTAATCGAAAGGGTTGTCATATATATTTTTTTTTGTATTGAGCTTAATTGTTATATGTTTTTCCCTTCACATTGAACTCCTTTTACGACACACTTAAGTAGGTTGAATTGAGGGTTGAGACTAGCTAGGTGTAGGAGCTACTCATTGTGAGAGCTAAGTTAGACAACTGGTTTGGATTTGAGACTAGGGTACAGTCTTGTTAACTTTCGAATCAGGTTTATGATTCAGGAGATCTCTGTCATAGTGAGGAGGTCCCTTCGCGAGAAGGAAGAGTGGATGCATGATTGTTTATCTAAACCACTATAATATTTTAAAAATGCGGAGAGAACCCATTCTTTTTTTATTTTGTTTCTTTTGATTTTTCTTTTAATTTCTTTTTGAATTTTGGAGGAAAAACAAGATGAAGAAGAGGGAGGGAGAGACTGAGCGTGGAAAGAGGAAGGGCCAATGGGATTTTGGGGCAATGTGGGGGCTGCTACTAGGGG